TAACCAAGGATTTCATTATCAACTAAATTGAATGAAATGTGGGATCATAATCTCTTTCTATCTAAGAGTGACGAATCCTCCATTGGTTATTCACAACCTTCATATGATTCTTAACATACTCAAACGATGTCGTATTAGTGGCTATTGTCAGAGCAACTTCCAACACTGTCAAAGTATGACTGTCCTCATATAAGGTACCATGATGACTTCAAGTCAAAAGATCGATTCCACTACCGAACTTTAGAGATTAACCACTGACACTAAAATAGTTATCCATGTGGAATCTTTCGATGGGTGTCCAATATTTTGTTCTATAACAAAACATTCACGAGTTCATTCAAGTGTCACCGCACTTTAACTTGTGAAATCAACTACTTACCTCACAAATAAGAAATGTCATACGTGATGGTCTTTTGTAATAATGATATTCATATCTCGTCATTACTTACGATCACGAATGATTTAAGATTCAATTATATGTAATTTATATCACAATCACATCTCCTTGTGATTAACAAATTACAAAGATTTGAATCTATGAAAGTTATTATTTAATTTAATTGAATATTAATTAAATAATAGATCTACCATAAAATTGCATCAATTATATATTAAAAGTGATTAAGACCAAAGTTGATTGACTTAGCGCATAACATTTAGACGAATATCATAGTTAATTTGAGAACTTAGATTAGTGTTGGATTTTTATACTCAATAAATCCTAGGCTATGATGTTAACATGAGAACATATTTCATAGGTTTAGGCCTATGAATGAAATAAGTAACAACAACCAAATCCACAGGGTCTACCCAACCCATTTATATCCTCTTAAATGGCTTTGAATCTTGGCCCGTTTAGCTTTGTTATTGGTCCAATTCAAAGCTTAACATAATCCTATTTATATGGCTATAAACCCTAGCCATGCTCTTGTATGATTTGTGTGTGAAAATTAGGAATGTAAATTGGGCTCGTCGTCTCAGGCAGCTTGTAGCTCGACCCAGGAAAAGTCCAAGCTAGCTCGGCCCGTGGCTCAAGTCGGCAACCATTTGGCCCGAGCCAAACGATTAATTAAAAATAATAAATATCTGTTGCAGTAGATTTGCTGTCAAATAAGGCAACTATCAGCCTGGTAACTATAAGATTTGAATTCAAACGGTTTGATTTTTTTGGTCATAAATATGGGTTAAATTTTTCAGTTTCATATCAATCTTCTTCGATCAATTTTAACTCGCGGCATTATAGTTTCAAGTTTTAACTTCATTCTCTAATTTCTTTGTTTTAATACTTAGTTTTTTACTCTAAGATCCAGTATCATTTGTTATAATATTTATAGAATATGGATGGATTTTACTAGTGATGAGATTAATCAATTTAAGGGTAGTTCGAATACCCCATTGTTATAATATTTATAAAATATAGATGGATTTTACTAGTGATGAGATTAATCTGGATTTCGCATAAAGGTCGGGCCAAGCTTAGGTTTTTTGGTCGGCCTTGCAAAAAAGCTCGAACCATTTTACTCGAGCCCAACCCAACCCTCAAGTTTTGGCTCACAGGCCGGTTTACCTAGGCTCGTTGAAATCACTAGTGGAAATTGAAGAAAATCGACTACCTTAGAGAAGAGAAAAATCGGCTCCTTTGTGATATCCAAAATCGGTGATAAACTTTGTGATTTTCAATCTCTTCCTTGTCTTCCTTTGTGGTGTTTTCTCATTGCCTTTGTGACTAAGAATCATCACCGTTATCTTGTCTTTTGTAGGTGAGATTGAGAAGCAACCGAGATGAATATATATATTTGTTGTGGATCGGAGCCAGTTAAATTGGTGGTTGGCAAGGAAAGGTAACGTTGAATTGAGCCAGAAAAATACCATTTGACGATTCTTGGAACAAGCTTCCGCGATAATTAGATCTTTTTATTGTTAGGTAAACATAATTTGTTTACTATGAGAGTATGAGTATAATGTTTTAATACTACTAAATGCTTTAAATTTAAATGTTGGCTGATTTGACTTTTGTTGTTCGTTATCCATTTTTCTGTATTTATTTCTTTTGTGATGTACAACTATTTTTATGATAAAAGAGTTTCAGATTCTACTTTTATTAAAAGTAGGGATGTCAACGAGTCGAGTCGAGTCGGTTCGCAAGTCGAAATTTTGGGCTTGAGCTCGGCTCGAGTAAAATGTTCGAGCTTTTTTCTTAGCCAACCCGAGCAAAAGCTTGACAAAAAAATTAAGCTCAACCCAAACTTTCGGCTCTGGCTAGCTCAGATTTTGTTTGGTTTTGGTTTTTTTTTTTTAATTAAAAAGGTAGTAAGTTGCTACGTTGTTTGGCAGCAACTTGCTGCCTATTAAAAGGCAGCGTGTTGTTGCCTTTATTTATTTTTTATTTTTAAATATATGCTCGGTTCTCCCGAGCCAACGAGTCACATGGGCCGGTTTGGGCTTTGTCCGACACCTAAAAATGGGGTTTGGTTCGAGCCTCGAGCTTTTTTCGTGTCGAGCCAACAAACCCGATTGTCATCCCTAACTAAATGTCTTCGTAAAATCCCAATTTGATATTTATGCAATTTTTAATATTCAAATTTTTTTTCTACATACTCATTTTCAATTACACATTCATAAAATAAAATATTTTAAATGTAAACTCAAAATTTGTCTCCAACTTTTTAACCATACGTTCATCAAAAAATTATTATTCAAAACTCCATTTAACAAAAATAATAGTTGTCATACAGGGGCTTAGGTTAATTATAGTATAAATTATTTTTTGAGAAAGTTTTCCCCAAATTTCAGGGCCCTTATTTGGCCCCCATTTTTTTAAGGGATAACCACATATCTACTATATTATATAAACATGTTTCACAATTAGCAAAGTTCCTTAAAACTTTCATAATCCAGGTGATAATTGAAAATATTAAATATATAAAAATATAATGTTATATACGTTAAATTTGGATAAAAAAATTATAATCTTCTACAAATTACTAATATGCCATAATTAAAGACATTTTTTATTTTCCAACCATAATCAAACGAGATTTTCTTTCTCTACAAAACGGGTTCCACAAAAACTCTCTTTCTAAACAATAGATTCACCAAAAACATCACGAAAATTTCCCTGGCATTCTCTGCAATCGATCAATAACGTCGATATGCTGGTAATTTTCATTTAATTGGAGAAAGTCGAAGTTCGAGTATGGAAGAATTCAATTTGCCCAAAGCAGAAACTGAAGTTTTTTGATCTGATTTCGAAGGTAAGCATATAATTACTTAGTATAGTTTATGATTTTAAAGAAACAGGTGTTTTCGAAGCTATTGAAACATTTATCCAAACATAATCAGAGGTTTCACGCCGTTAAGAATAAACTATATTTTGCCCAGTGTGTGACGTGTATTTTTTCATTAACCATTGGTAGTATGCAATTTTTGTTTTTCAATTTACAGTTATGAACGTGTTGATCTATGACTGTTTTTGTGATTCAATCACATTGGTGCATATTTTTGTTAATTGTGACTAGTTGTGACCACTGAATTAAATAGATTGTGACATATATGTTAAATGTCTTTGACAGTCCATAAGTAGAATTAGTTTATTCTGTGATTAATGTCATTGCATTGAAAATTGATTCTCTGCGACACTAAATTTGTTGACCGTATGTGAATTTCTTTACATTAAATAACTTCTGTGACCTGTATTGATAGATCCGTGACTTCTTCATCTGTGGCCTATATTCATCAATGTCATTGCATCTGATCGTTTCCTGATTTTAGTGAATAAAGTGTGACATTCTGTTATTTGTTTGTGATCAGGGATGACAATTTTGAACGTGTGCCTGTTATATGGAGGTCACACATCACTTATACTAGTGAATGATACGTGCAAGTATGATGAGTTGGTTAACCTTGTTATTTCAGAATTGGGGCTTAATCATGCAGAAGTAGGTGTGAGATTAACATATTCTTTGGATTCTAGTTTACCTCCAGTTCGGATACTAAGTAATAATAATGTCTTAACGTATTTGAGGCTAAGATCTTTGGATGGCATTGTATCGAACTATCCTATTGCAGTTGATGTTATCACTACAGACTCATGGCAGTCAACAGGTGCATTGCAATGCCCAGAGTCATCAATTACTACCATTGAGTCATCGACTAATGTGTTTTCTTTACAACAAATAGCTCAGGATATATGAGACTCGGTTACTACAATTGAGAACGGAAACATTGAAGAAGATGTGACATTGATATCTCAAGCAAATGCTAGAGAAGTAGTGGAGGGAAATGTTTTCCGCAATAAGGAAGTACTGAAAATGAGCTTGGCCCTCTATGCCATACAAAACAAATTTGAATATAAGGTGTTGAGATCGGACAAAAAAGAGTACGTAATAAAGTGTTCCCAAGATGATTGCAAGTGGATATTTAGATCTTCACGCTTGGGAGAAACGAAAATGTTTAAGATCAGGGAAATCTATAATGGTCATACATGCTCAATGAACATTGTTTTAGGATCTCATCGACAAGCATCTAGCTCAATGGTGTCAAACTACATCAGGTATAAATACACTTCTTCACGTACAATATACACTCCTAATGATATCTCAAATGACATGTTGCACAAATATGGAGTATCGGTGAATTATATGAAGGCATGGAGGTCACGTGAGCAGACATTAAAATTGGTTAGAGGTGATCCAACAACATCGTTTCAGTTGCTACCTTCTTATTTTTTTATGTTACAACAGATGAACATAGGGACAGTCACACGAATAGAAACTGATCATTTAGATAGATTTAAATATTGTTTTATGGCTTTGGGTGCATCGATTGCTGGTTGGAAATATTGTAGGCCAGTCATTGTTGTTAATGGTACATATTTAAATGGTCACTACGGCGGTACACTCTTTACAGCTTGTACACAAGATGCAAATAACAATATCTTCATACTAGCTTTTGGGATTGGGGATAATGAAAACGATAAGTCGTGAAGATGGTTTCTTGAGATGTTGAAGAGGGCGTACGGATCTAGAGATGGATTATGTATAGTATCCGATAGACACAATAGCATAAGAAATGCCATTGAATTTGTATATCTAGTGGCAATGCATGGGATCTGTTCATACCATTTGCTGAAAAATTTGAAGTCACATTCTGCAAAATCAAGTCACAATGTCACATATGCATTCAATTCTGCTGTAAGAGCTTATACAGTGGATGAATTTGAATACCAAATGCAGCAATTGGACTCAATAAATGAAGATATCAGGGGATATTTGGTATGTGATTGTCTGAAACTTATGTTATATGACTTCCTGTCACTATTTTTGTGATGTTATGAAATTTCTATGAATATCTGTGATCATGCATGTTTAATGTACAAACTATATTTCATTTTTTATTACATGAAATTGAAACATGATTATGAATGAAATATACAGTGCATATTTAGCATGTGGTCTCATTTATAATTGAAAACATAATATAGTTTTATGAATGTGTCCATTTGTGACCTGTTCTGTGATAATACTGACAATCTGTAAACTTTTTAGAGTTAACTGTGACCATATGTGACTTGTTACTTGAATCTGTTATCTAATAACTAAAATTATTTTGTAGTTGGATGTTGGATATGAAAAATGGTCAAGATTGCACATGCCAACCAATAGATACTCTACTCTGACATCAAACATAGTAGAATCTGTTAATGCAGTCACGAAGGCGGCAAAAAATTACCCCATTGAAGCACTTCTAGAATCATTGAGGCAAATGGTCCAATCTTGGTTTTGTAAAAATAGAGATGACGCACATGACACTTTCACAAAGCTTGCAACAAAATATGAGAAGTTGTTAAGGGAAATGAGCAATGATGTGAGAAATCTAAAGGTAAAAACAAGAAAACTATGTTTATTATGTTGATCACAAGTATAACTTTAAATATTTTTTATTTTTAGGTTTCACCTGCAAGTCACGCTTTATTTGAAGTGAGAGACAATTCTTCATCATACATGATTGATATAACGCTACATACATGTAGTTGTAGAATGTTTCAAGTGGATCAACTTCTCTGTCCACATGCACTGGCAGTAATAGCAACATTGAAGCTGAATGTATATGACTTTTGCTCTATGTATTACACAAGAGATGCATATCTAAATACCTACAAAGAGACTGTATTTCCTGTAGATAATAAATCAGAATGGAATTTGCCAGAAGATGTAAGTAATAGAGTTGTTTTTGCTCAAAACCAAAAGAGAAGCTCTGGACAGCCTACTGAGAAGAGAAAGAAGCCAGCATATGAAAGATCACAAGTTGTGAAATGTGGAAGATGCGGTGAATTCGGGCACAATCGTCGAACATGCAGAAACTTGGTGCCACTTAACCAGAATGACAAAAAACTGAAAATAAAGAAAGATCCAAAGAAATTCAAATAGCTTAGCATAATTTTTTTACAAAATGATATTCTTTGTAATTGCAAATTGTTTCATTTTATTGCCGAACGACGTATTTTTTGGATTATACAAGTTGATAGATTTATGCATTGAGCTTTCGTTATTCTCACGATGTCACTTATTTCTGGAAAAGGGTTGTGTAAACAAACATTGATTGTAACTCTGTTTTTGTTGATTGTGACCGTCTGTGACCATTTCAAGCATTAAATAAGCTCTATGTTTTTTGTTTAACTTGTGTGTTCAAACTGAATCTGAATGTCATCTTCCACTAGATAAGGCCAACTTGTGTGTTCAAACTAAACCCGAATATATCATCTTCCACTAGATGGGACCAATTCTATGCTTACTTCTTTTGTAAGAGTGTCGATGATAAATGTTAAGAATTTGTGACCATTTGTGACTTGTTCATATGTAACAAGTTAATCAAACTATTCGTGACCATCTGTGACTTACAGTAATATAAGAAAGTACTCATATGTGACCACTTTGACTTATTCAAGTCATGCAAATTAACCAACTGTTGCTATTTGTGACGATTTGTGACCTGCGGTTATATAACACATTATTCGCATGTGACTATTTGTGACCTGTTTAGACTCTGCAGTATTTTCACGTGACCTGTTCAGACCGTGCGAATATAGACTTTTACATCCATAAAAAAATTTAGAAGATATAAACAAAATCATTCACATAAACACCAATACTTTCACCTTGTACCAATTAACAAAAACAAATTCAAATTCAATTCCAAAACATATTACAAAGATAACATCTATCAACTACATCATAAAAATATCTGTTGTCTAATTTTGAACAGCTATCAATCTAATCCATCATGAAAATAATGCCATCAACAGGAGTTCATTCATCTGACTTTGAACTTCCCTTTCCAATCTGCTTCAGTTGCTTTTTTTGAACAGTAACGTTGCAATTTCAAGTCTGGCATTCCCAGCATCAAATGACATCGGCATATTGCCAAGATCATTGTGCAACAAATACTGTGCATACTTTATCACAAAAACCCCACAATCATGCCTGTAATATTTAAAGAAGACAAACCATAAGTAATTACAAAATGTTGATGGAAAATGATAAAACTTGCAATGCCCATAACAAAACTTACCCATTTTGTTGTTGGGGTAAACCACGGACAATATTAACATGCAGTTCCCTAGATTTGTCACCAATGCTATCACTAGTTTCCTTCCATAGCCTTTAAAAGGTGTGTAAGAGTCTTCACAAGCGATAAAACCCCTTCGCGAACCTTGTTGTCCTTGTATGATTTGTTGCTTGAATTATATATGTAAAGAACATGGTTAATAATATCAAGCTGCCCTAACATCCAATGAGCATGATTTGTTGGCATAATGGGCATCAACACAGATTCAACTTCTCTCCAAGCAGTATTAAATTATAATGAACAGCGACAGTGCCACATACAAACTGAGGACTTATCACGTTATCTGCATCTTTAAACTTTACCCTGTGCACACACATATGCCCTCATCAAACAAAGAATATGATTGTGACCAATTTATTTCTGTCTGTGACCAGAAATGCTGTAGTCACAAAAAGAAATGGAAGGTCACAATTCACTAAAAACACTAAAATCTACGTTTAATTTACTTGTTCTTGGGCTTGTATCCTTTGTCAAACCAATTCTTAATTGAACTCAAATCTGTGCTATAAACTCCTTTCGAATAATTTTAGAACACGACGTTTACAGTGATAGATTTTGATCCAGTAGCAGCATGACGTGGATCGACCTTAACAAAAGGTGACTGCAGAGTTTTCGATGGCTTTTGTGCTCTCTTCACAGGTAGTCCAGATGATGGTGGTGCAAGTGTTTCTTCCTGAATAAAAAACATAAAAACAACGTTTCTTAAATTAGTGTATGACAATAAATCTGAATTTATAATATTAAAACACTAAATGTTTCATTAAACTGACATCTTTACAATGAAGTTCAGTAGACTCCAACACACGTGCAATAGCCTCATCAACCTGATCCTGCACTTCTTTACTGGCAAAAAATATATCATCAGAGCTTTTAGGTGTCTGTGAGGAGCAAACTCCTAGATCAAATGAAGGAGATTCAAGAACATAGTCATCATGAACATGTGAAAACTCAGGTGCCATGTGACCCTTGTCCACTTTTTCAGCCACATCATCGCCTTTTTGCTTAGGTTCTATGTGAACATTGTCACTTTTTCCAACAATATCATCACCTTTTGGCACAGGTTCCATGTGACCCTTGCCATTTTTGTCAACATCATCATCATCTTTTGGCACTTGTTCCGTCAAAACATCTTTACCACTCAACTTCTTATGAAGTTCATCCATCACCGAAGATAAAATGTCAGAAACAGATTCAACAAAATTTTTAAGTGACAACCTGATGTCACTCAAGCTATCTTTCAACACATTGTGACTCTGAATGACGTCATTGAGCTTCAAAGAATTGTTTGATTGACGCATGTTTACATTCATCTTAGAGAGTTCTGACTTCATCGACATAAGCTCCTCTTTCAACCCCTTATTCTCCGCTTGGAGTTTGGTTACTTCCTTTTCAATCAATTGCTTCAGTCGACCACATTCCTGATAAATTTTGTAGTTAGTGAAATTGTATATAAAATGTGTTCTGAAGTGAAAAGACAATGATATTACTTACCTCAACACATGAGCAATCTGGATGTGAGGCAGCACTTTGCTGATCGCGAGAGCTAGAGCCAGCAACCCCCGTTTGTTTATATAGTGATGGGCCTACAAAATCTGAATCTTCAACGTCTATCTTCGACAGCAGGGGAGTTGCCTCACTTGTGCCCAATTGATTTTCAGAGATCTTAAAAATTCCGAGTTGGTCATCTAGGCTTTAAGTACTGCACATCTACCGATCGTACACAATATATATAAGAATGAAGAAAGTCACAAGAAACAAGTCACGTGTTTCACGTCACAAGCTTAAGAGACATGCGACTTTACAAAACAGGATATTCATACTTCAGTTCACAATCGTATGAAGAAAGTCACATATCACACGTTTCCGATCACATTCACAAGTCACAAGTCGCATAAGAGCAAACTAAGTCACAAGGCACAAGCCACAACATACATAAGGATAAAGAGAGTCACAGGTCACAAGTTACATGTTTTAGGTCACAGTCATAAAACATATGTCACTTTACAAACAGGATATTCATACTTCAGGTCACAAATCATATTTCGTATCATAATAAATGTGAAGTTCATATTTAAAACCTGTCATATATGGCATTGTGAGCTCAACTTCAGATGGATCTATGTCATTTATCACAACCTGTTTCACATAAGATGAAAAAATATTGATCATATGCCATTTCAAAATTTATATAATCAACCAAATGATTACATAACAATTTAAATGTATTTAAAACCTTACATTCTTATTTCCAAATACTTTGTCCTCCAACATTGACACTGAAGGATGTTTGTGCGCAGTCCAATTAATAATGCGTGGATATTTCTTATAAATTCTTGTGGCCACATTTCCCTCAAGTGCAAGTATGCACTCATATAACCACACCTGGAAAGCCACTAAAAAACCTGTCAATCTATAGTGACTAGTTTGTTTTGATAGTCCCTTTTTTAGCGACAATAAGGTGGTCTCAAACAAATATCTACCCCAAGGAAATGTTTCAAGAGTGGCAAAATCGTCTACAAGTGCAAATATGTATTGATCCACCACCTTCGGGTAGGATTTAGCAAATAAGTATGAGGTGATGAGATAGATAATTCCAATCTTAACAACGTCAAGGTCTGATGCATCATCAAGTGAAATAAAAACCCTCTTGACATCTTCACTTGTAACAACTTTTAAGTCCTTAAAATACGTGTCCTTCACTGAAGACGGTTTTTCATCTAACATTGGTCGACCATCGACCCCATCATACCTCAATCCCGTAACCAAACAAAATTCAGCAATTGAAAAACGAATATATCTCCCATTTACATTAAACCACATCTCTTGCTTGTTCGGTTGCTGGACCTCCCGTAGTAAAACTTGGTGAATCAATTGTGGCTGCACAACTATCTCCCTACAATGCATGTAGTAGGAGAAACATGTGTTTTCTAGAATTGCCATCTGCGCAGTCTTAAATTTCATCACAAAGTGCGTAATCACACTCTGTATTTGCGTTGTGGCGATTTTTCCAGAAAACCAATTCCTTGGTTTTATTAAGTATTTCCAGTCCTGCACAATGGTAAAATAAAAAATGTTACTTTGACCTTCAACACACAAACATTTCGCTGTGACCAACTCTTCTAAGATCATAACACAAAGAAGTAAAAAGTCACAACAACTATTTCATTCGCAAACAATCCAGCACTCCTTTAAAAACACATTCGATTAAAGTAAATAGTAATTGATCACACAGTACAAATTACAAACTACTCAATGAGTTGGTCATAAAATGATATTTCCTACACAAAATACCCACATCAGGTCACAAACTACTCAAATAATAGGTCACAAATTTCAGAAATTAGGTCACAAAATCGGAGTTCACCTTTTTCATGAGTTTCCCGCCAGATCCTAAAATAGTTGGTCACAAATTTTTCAAAATCATAACACAAACAAGTAGAAAGTCACAATCACGCAATACATAAAATAAGTCACAAAACCTTCAAATTACAAAATACCTAAAACAGATTACAAAATTATATTTCCTACGCAGAATACCCAAATCAGATCACAAACTACACAAATAATAGGTCACAAAATCGGAGTTCACCTTCTTCATGGGTTTCCCGCCAGAGGATGACATTTTAACTCTATTTGCTGAAGAAGAATCTCTTTCAACATATTTCCTCTTTCCTTTATCCTTCTCCATCATTTTCGCACCAACACTTCGAGTTTTTGCCATTCCAAACACAACTATTGTTGAAACTAAAATTTAATAAACTATTGTGCGGTTCGTAGTAGTGGAGAAACGGAGTGGGAGGTTACTTTACTGTATTAGAGAGAGAGAAGAGAAGAGAGAGAGAGAGAGAGAGAGAGAGAGAGAGCAACGTCGTTGCTGTATTTCTGGTAGAGAGAAGAAGAGAGAGAAGAACGTGATTTCTTTCTGCACTACACTGCACTGTAAAAAGAGAGAGAGGGTTTATGGTAAAACGCGAAGGACGTGGTTTGGATAATCAGTGATTACGTGCAGAAGTATTATGAAAACTGTGTAATTCAGAAATAGAGGGTTATTTCATCACGTAAATGAACAATTAGTTTATAATTATTATTAATTTTAAAATAAATAATTAACACCTGATTTTAGAAAATTAAACCTAATCACCCTAGTTTTGAAATGTAAAGTTTATAAGTATGGTTTTGCGTTATTTTTCCTATCTTCAA